CTCTCATAAACATGATTTGCCTCTATGCGTGTTTTTCAAACCCTCCAGGATAAAAAAAAAATGTTATAAAAAGAATAAGATGGAACAGAAATCAACATTATCTACAGGCATCTGTGAAGATAGTTGTCTGTAGGGCTTTTAAAGTAATTTTTAATTACTAGGCTCTTGTCCCCTTCCCCCATCCATCCTTATCTACTCTAAGTCACACCCTACAAAGTCCCTAGTTAAATCAGATATTTCTTAATAACATGTGGATTTTTAAAAAGTTAATGACTGCTTCCTAAGCCTCTTCCACACAATTTACGATGTTGGTAATTATATATAGGTGGTAAATGGCATGAGAAGAATATTTGCAAAAATTCTGAATTTTAAAATTGCATTCTCCTTTAATCATTTCATCATTCTCTATAAGGGGGAAAAGAATCAGGCTGGCCAGCTCTGAATCTTTCCTTACATTATTTACTTAGTGAGTAGGAAACACTCTACTAAATGTTTCTGTAGTGTCCACACCAGCCATTTCCTAGAAGCACCACTCATCTTTGGCCGCCACAATCTCCTCTCTGAACTGCTACTTAGCTAGAATAAAACTCCTCATTTGATTTAGGTCCTAAGGATATAAATCAGGTCTATGAGAGAAAGAATAGTCACACATGTGAGAACCAGCCATCAGGGATTAAAACAGAGGTATCTGGTGAGACTTTCAAATAGAAGAAGGAGGTTAAAACAAAGACTTATGAGCTCTCATACACTTTTCTTTCTCACACCATAAAAATGAAAAATCTCTGAATGGTTTTGAGTAACTGCCAAGCAGTTCTACCATAAATTGCTATCTGACCAGAATAAATCCTGTAACCTTCTCTACTTCAGTTTCCTCATCTATAACATGACAATTCTATCAATAACTGAAATGTTTTAGAACATGTAATCAAATATATTCCTGTTTGCCAGCTTGAGAACAGCCAAAATTTACTAAAGACCAAGTTTACAAAAGACAGCATTTTTAGCTAAAGCTCCCAAAATAAAAAATTAGAACTTATTTTTTTTTTTAGCCCAAATGTGGAAGATCATTCATACATAAAGTACTTATACGACTCCCCTTCCTCACACTTTCAGCCAATATATAGGCTATTGTCTTCACGTCACCAAGTACCCTAATTGCTGCCACACTCTGAACAGGAGTTCATTGGAAGCACTCCTCCACAGGCTGCTGTCCTGCAAACAGTAACCAGGCCAGACAGAGGCTGCCAGGGAGCAGGAAGGAGGGCCAGGAGCAGAGGGAAGCACTTTTCTGGGAAGCACTGTGGCTCCACAGCCCCATGGTTCCTTCGGCCTCACCCTCACACTTCCAGCCACCAGGGTCCTCGCCTTACTACTCGTACCTCCAAAGCAAGACTAATCTTTAGAAACAGTGAGAGTTTTGACATTGATTAGAATAATTCTGCAGCGTGGGAAAGTGGGTAGAAGAAGAGACAACCAATACGAGAAGAATTCTTTCAGCCTTTATCAATAAGCAGGAAAAAATATAAAGATATAACATCTTCAAAGTAAGAGGTACTTTTATCAGTGTATTCAATAACTGGTGGTTCAATCATAAAAATTTAGCTCTAGCCGGCTTGGCTCAGTGGATAGAGCGTTGGCCTGTGGACTGAAGGGTCCCAGTTTCGATTCCGGTAAAGGGCACATGCCTGGGTTGCGGGCTCGATCCCCAGTAGGGGATGTGCAGGAGGCAGCCAATCAATGATTCTCTCTCATCACTGATGTTCCTATCTCTCTCTTCCTCTCTGAAATCAATAAAGAAATATATATTTTTTTAAAAATTAATGACACAATTTAAACAGAATTTTTTTAAAAAACACTTGCTATTTCTAGTTGTTAGCCCCCAGTTCCCTTTGGTTATCAGTAAAATACTTTAAAATCTATACATAGAAGTAACATTTAGAAATTGTATTCTTGTAGAAGGAAAAGTCAGATAATGTCCATTGGTTTCTCTTCTCTATTAATTGAATGTTACTTTATTTTTATTTCCTACAACCTCTTTTCCTCCTATGCCCTTAAAGATATACTTTATTTCTTTTGCATCTCTATTTGAGGTTTATATTTCTTAAACTGTCTGATCTACATTTCACCACTAATACTAAGTAGAAAACACTGAATGAATGTCCTCCCATTAATCTCAATATATTCCATTTTTAGGAATCTGGTGAGAAAGAAATCAGGTTATTTGGAGGTTGAGTCCTCTATTTTCACTGATATTCACGTTGTGAATGGTGACTGATTTTATTGCTTCTAGATAACAATTCCCTTTCCTTCAGAGACGTCTATGCAGAAATCTCCTCTGGAACTTTTAGGTACTGTGAAATATTGAAATTACAGGGGAAATCCACGTGGGAGCCAGATTACAGCAAAAAAGAATCAGAACGGAACCCCTAGAACAGACCCTATTTATGAACTATTATCACTTAACCTCACACTCAACAAAAGGGAGGTCTGGGAAGGTTACCTATGGGCACCTGCCCGAGAATGTATCTGCACAGCTGTCCCTCCAAGCTCTTTGGCACCACCCTTTGAAATACTCATGTTACAATCTGTTTGCCATTAAGTCCTCTGGCATAAAAAAAAAATTACTAAATATATTTATGCAGTTTCCCCCTGATAACCAGCCTCTGATTTAAAACACTGCCTTAGTTTTCTCAGTCAATATCTATTAAGCAATAGTCCTAAAGTGAACCTATCTAGAAAACCAAAATCCAGATATTAAGGAAACAATTTTAATATACTAATTCTGAACCATTCTAAGCATGACAATAGTTTTCTTTCTCAATTTGCTTTTTTTCCATTTTTTTCTTTATTTTACTATTACATTTATCCCCCCTTTACCCTCTTTCAGCTCCACCTCCCTCTCCCCCTGCAATCTCCATGCTAATATTGGTATCCATGAGCTCTTTCTCTTTTTTGTTCAATTAAGCAAGGAGAGTAATACCTAAGGGTAGCACAGATAATGTATCTGAAGCCTACTGTGCAGAGCCAGGTACATGGTAATTACTCAGTAAATGGTAGTTATTATTTTATACATGTATACACCCTGAAAATTTGGAAAATAAAGACAAATATCCTTAATTCTACCACCCTAGTAACACAAACATGTATCTCTTTGTAATTTATGTCTACAAAAAAAACTTATTTTTATATTATTACAAGTGTAATTCACAATTTTGCCTTTTTTTACATTATAATCACCTTTCCATGTTACCATGTAGGATTCACAATTTCCTTTTTAATTTGTTGGATGTGAGTCCATTAAGTAAACGACCATAATTTAACCTCTAAACTCCTGCCAAATATTTGAGGTTTTTTGATATTATAAACAATGCTCCAATAACATTTGCATGCATATAGTTTTTCATTCTGTGGAATTCTTTCCTTGGGATGAATTACTATCAAAGTTGATCATTAGAGGAACCATAGACTCTTTTGTGGCTTAGATTAGTTTTACCAAACAACTTTCCACAAGTTGACACAATTTGTAGTGTTTCCACCAATAGACATAAACATTATCAAGTCCTCTCTATCCTTCAGTATTAATACTAATACCTTTCATTTATGGAGTATTGACCATGTGCCAAGCACTGGTCTGAGTGCTTTACATGTGTTTTCATCCTCACAATAAATTTCTGAGTAATTCTGAAGTAGTTACTCTCCTTTTGCAGATGAGGAAGTAAAGGTTCAGAAAGTTGAAAAGCTATATCCAATGTCACATAGCAACTAAGTGGGAGAACTTGGACTCAAACTCTGGTCCTGTTTAATGCCACAGTACTCTTAACCACTTGGCTATATGTCTGCTTTACTCTTTTTTCTCTCAGGTAATAATAGGTGAGAAAAGATATTTGCACAAATGTTTTCATATGCAGTTCTTGGTTACTAACAAAGTTAATCATTTTTACATGTTTGTTAAACTGCATATTCTTGCTGTGTTATATTTTTATATTATTTAGCAACTTCTATAAAGTAGTGGGGGAAATCTTGTTCCCTATATATTGTTTACTAATCAGCACAATCTTCACAAGAGAGGTCCAGGCACTGAGCTGTCAGTTTATAAGAGAAGGTGATCCTTCTTTTCCTCCTCCTTCCTGCCCAATATGGGCTGAATACAAACATGTTCTAGAAAGCTAAGTCCATATCTTTTTAACATTACAGTACTCACTCTATGATATGGCCCCTGTCTGATTTGGAATACCCTATGTTAGGAGTCAGAGTGAAGACTCAATGTACCCTGAGGGGTGACAAACTGAAATAATTTCTTAACCAATTTACCAAAGTCTTTGAGAATTAATATCTCATTTGCCCAATTTCCCTCCCACCCCCTTCTCTTTCCATCTACAAATTTCTCTTCTGCTAATTAAGATAAAGACTGAAATGTGCATTTTTTAATGAATTTGCAATCAAAACAACTTGAGCATCATTCAAAGTTTATCTCCCATAATGTATAGAAACATCATGAAAACTTCACCTATGCTTTACTAAGCAAAACCAGAATTACCTGATAAACATATACTTTAATAGCCCCATTTTTAAATATGCTCCATTACCTACATTATGTCTTGCAGTACAACCAAATGCCAAAGTTGCATCTTCTTTGACTCCAGTGTCAAAATCTTCCAAGCATCTCAATGCTCCACAATCAACTGTTGCCTGAACTAGTTGAGGAGAATGTTTAGCAACTGCTCATAACACAAAAGCAGCAGCTTCCTTGTAGAAATGCTACAAGGATAAAATAGATAAAACACAAAGTGAATTGAGCACTTATATAATGAAAAGTTAAAATAGAATAAAACCAATGTAAAAATAAAAATATAATGAAGCTCAACAGCTTTTAAATACTAAAGAAATACATCCTGCAACATTATTTTTTTGATGTTCCCCATTGCTTTCATTCAGTAACTAAACAAAAACAACGCAAGTCATATTACATTTCAAATGTTTTCTTCTAAAATATGCATTTATAAAATAAAATATTTCCTGCAAATTGTATATCCTACAAATTCATTATTTAATTATTTAATGAGATTTTTATGTATCTGCATTACGCTAAAGGTATATGTCTGACCCATAGGAACTCTTGGACTGTTAGCATGTGCTACTAAACTGTCAACTGACAAATTCATTTCCTTTACTTGCCCTCAGTCTCTAAGCCTGGTAGGCCTTTCATGACCTTAACTAATCTTTCTGGTGTCCTAAGTTATCCTGAAATAACAACCAGGTTTCAACATGCATTTATCAATCGTTGGATAAACATAAAGGCAAAATATTCATGATACATTTTAAAACTTTTCCTGGTAAATAAACTCGCCAAACAATTGGGACATGTTATACATTCATTTTTAGAAATGTTTTTTTTTAAGGTAAATATAAGTGACTTAACATTATGTGAATGCTTCATATTTAAAATATTTTCTATATATAAGTTTTATCAAATTAAGAAATAAAATAAAACCGAAACATGATTTTCTTTATATAGCTAAGAAAATTAAATGTTTAGGAAGTATTTAGCTGTAACACTCTGTGGTTTTATGGTTCACATAATGACACAGTAATGGTCTCCTAACTCTTCCTTTTATTACAGAACCCAGTTAATCCTCTACTTTAGATTGTGTCTATTCTTTACAGAGACTACTGAAAAGTGACTGTCATAGCACCTGTTTTTAATGCATTCTATTAACTTGGGCCAAAATATTAAAATACAAAAAAATTATGAGAGAGAAAATACACCAAGCATATTTTTAACATTGATCTCAAAATCTGGTATCCTCTATAATAGAAAGCTAATATGCAAATTGACCGAACGGTCGCTATGATGCATACTGGCCACCAGGGGGCAGACGTGCAATGCCAGAGCTGCCCCCTTGTGGTCAGTGCGCTCCCACAGGGGGAGTGCTGCTCAACCAGAAGCCTGGCTCACAGCTGGTGAGTGCAGCGGCAGTGGCAGGAGCCTCTCCCGCCTCCATGGCAGTCAGACATCCTCCAAGGGCTCTGGGACTGCAAGAGGACGCAGGCCGGGCTGAGGCACCCCCCAAGTGCCTGAATTTCGTGCACCGCGCCTCTAGTATATTGATGATATAAGAAATATGCTATTTAGTAATAATGTTTTGATTTTATATATTTCTTTAGTTTATTAAATGTAACATATATAGATATCAAAATATTTGTTGTAAAGTCTAATTTTATGTCAGTAACCAAATACCTACTAATTTATTGTAAAAATTAGAAAAGAGTTTTAAAGTAGCTTCCCTCCAATTATTTTTTTAAGAAAATGTTTTTATTGATTTTAGAAAGAGAAATATTGGTTGCCTCCTGCATAGGCCCTGACCAGGGATCAGACCCACAACCTGGGTATGTGCCCTGACTGAGAATCAAACCTGAGACCTTTCAGTGCATAGGATGATGCTCAACCAACTGAGCCGTACTGGCTAGTGCTCCACAGATTATTTTCTCATAATTGTGGAAAAATAATGGTGGTATATTTCTTATCATTACCTTAAGCTAATTTGACTTTTTATATTGTAGAATTTTCAAATTCACAGAAACTTTCTTGTGTATTAATAGTCACTACTAACTACAGAGCCTATAATCATACTTTCTGATCTCATTCCCCCTTTCTTCTAATTTCAACTTCCCTAAATTCCTCATTCCTCTCTTCTCTCCCATTCTCACCAAAGAAATTTCCTTAAAGAAAAAAAGCAAAAGCAAAACCAGAGGACTTTGTACCTGATAAAGAGAGTTTAAATCTCCTGAGAGAAATGAATTAAAGGACTGGTAGGTGAAGGAGACAGAAGCTTGTGAATAATGCTTCACATTCTCATCACTTTTCTGCCCTGACACATTTTTTGTCTCTTTTCAACTAATGGACATCATTCACACTTAGAAAACTTCTAGTAAGAACCTTCTAGAGAGGATTAAAAATGGTGGCAGAATAAGTGGATACTACACAGACATACTCCCAGGAACAAACTGGAATTACAACTAAAATACAGAAAAACTTCCTGAATAATCAATGGAAAAATCGCAGGAGAGAACACTGATACATGCGGACTGAAAGTGGAGACCACATAGAAACTGGTAGGAGGAGCGGAGGCACCAAAAGGCTGGGTGGGTTCCCACAGAGAACTCTGGGGTTTAAAACCCAAGCTGGGCCCCCCAGCCCAGGTCACCAGAACTGAGAAAGGTGCCCACATAATACATGGCTGTGAAAAGCAGCAGAGCTGCTGTCTGCCCTCCAGAGACAGCTGGAAATAGAGGCTCCAGCACAGAGTACCAAACTGAGGAGGTACCCACATAACATATAGCTGTGAAAAGCAGTGGGGTGCTGTCTGAAAGTTTGGGCATCCTCTTAAAGGGCCAACTCACAAAATTCCCTGTGGAGCCACCATCTTGTGCTGCAGCAAAGGGAGGATAAAGTGGACTGGAGCTGTGAGAACAGAAGCCAGGACTGGGGACTCGGGCGATAGAGCTCAGAAGGCAGATACCCTAAGTTTCCTGGGCTGAGTCATTCCCTCACACAGCAAAGGACATCTTTCCCACATAGACATTTGCTTTGCCTGGGGAGAAGACAGTTGACACACCCTATTGGAAAATGCCTTGCCCTGGGGCCACTTAAGAGATTAAAAATAACAACTAGCCTCCAGGCAGAAGCAACTGTCCCAACCTGTTGAAAAAAACTCTCGCCACACCTAAGGACTGTTGCCTGGGGGCAATTCAAG